TATCGCCCTAAATCTCAAACTTCGGTAAATCCACACAGGTAGTTTATTGCTTTTCTACGATGAATATACACGTTTTTGGAATATAGAATTTTTTTTTCGCGATACTCAACTTCTGCCCAGAGGCGCGACAGAACTTGTCTAGAACATCTCCAATAACGACTGCTTGATTAGTTATTGCATCTGTAAAAAAACATCATGTCTTTAGCAAATATATATATATATATGTGATATTTTCGGACCATTGCGAACAAGGTGAACTGATTTCCATCCTTGATTCGTAATACTCCTTTGAATGGCTTGTGCTAGTCTTTCCCATGCATAGCAAATTTTCATCCTTGATTCCTAAAACTCCTTTGAATGACTTGTGCTAATCTTTCCATGCATAGCATAAAAAGATATGATGATAGTGGATCTCCTTATCGAATACCTCTAGTGGTTTAAATACTTCTGATGTTGCTTCATTCCATAAGATTCGTTACATCAGTATGCCTATCTATGAATGTCCGTTCTAGACAATCATATGCCTTCTCCAAATCTATTTTGATAACCACAATTCATGTTTTACCTTTTTTTAATCGCATAGAGTATATTGCTTCTTGTGTAATAATTATATTATCTATAATTGATCTTCCAAGAATGAAGCTCGTTTGGTTTTGAGATATCCAATGCGTCATATAAGGCTTTAGACGAATTACTATAATTTTCGTTACAAACTTGTACGGCACGGAACAGGGACTTATTGGTCTAAATTGGGTAATCAGCTCGGCTTCTTTAATCTTTGGTATAAGCGCGATAAGTGTTCGGTTTAAGGCTTCCTTAAAGACACCTCTTGCGAAACTATCCTTCACAAATCGACAAACACTGCTACCTACCGTCGACCAGTTACGTTAGTAGAATAATGCGTGGAAGCCATCTGCACCCGGGGCCTTTAATGGTGCCATGTGGAAGACCACTTGCTTAACCTCATCGTCGATGATGGGCCAGCCTATTTCCTCTTGAAAGTTCACCGGAGTAGTTGGGAAATTACCTCAGCTGATCTTGATCAATGCACCAACTACCGTATTGAACTTTGACTGATTGGATGTAGTTTGTTCTCATGCGTTGCATGGTACATGTGTGAAAATACTTCGTATTTTTGTCTCCATGCAGTATCCATTATTGTCTTGCTTTATGGATCCATAGACTCTCCTCTTTCGTCAAGTTGTGCTCGTGGTTCAGCGTCTAATTAAGTTAGTTGCTCCGAGTGTGCTCTCCTTAGTGCATTATCTATACCTCTAATTCTTGCAAGCAGTCTCTTTTTTCGTTGTCCAATATATCCGAAAATTGATTAGTTCCATCTGCTGACTTTAGATTTAAAGGCCTCAAATTAAAACATCATTCTCATTATTCCATGTGTCATGTATCAAGGAAGGGGATTTTGGATGATTTTGCTATGCGCAAGGAACCGAAATGGTCTATTTGAGTTACGTCCGCTCAGCTTTGGTTTATGGAATAACAATGGGCAGTGATCAGATCTCAAGCGGTCCAAACGTGTAACCAGCGTCATGGGGTAAAGAATAGCCCATTCCTCATTAAAGAGGCATCGATCCAGTCTTTTCCAAAGGCCCTCGCACTTCTAGGCAAATCCTACTCCTCTAAACTCTATTTCAATAAGTTCGGAGTTAAAGATGAAGTCTTGAAACCCTTTACTGACTACGTTTCCACGGTTGGATCCTCTCTTTTTTTCCTCTCTTCGTAGTGTGGTATTAAAGTTCTCGCCTAACATCTAGGCTTCTCCGTTCCCCGGGTTTAATACTGAAAGTAGTTCCCAAATCTCCTTCCGTGATGTCGGTGTTGGGCTGCCATATACGGATGTGAAAAACAACCACCTAGAGCTTTCTTCCTCTCATGCGCAACCATGCACGAATTGTGGGAACACATTTAGAATTTCTAATTTTACGGAATTTTTTCCATAGCGTTCAGATTCCTCCACTAAAGTCGTTGGCTTCCATGCGAAAGGAATTTGGAAAACCCAGTTTTGTTTTTACTTCATCCGTTTTATCTCCACTTGTCATCGTCTCAAATATAACGACCACATTGGGATTATGTTCTCTACATAGGCCTTTGAAGTACCTTCGGAATGAAGGACTGATTGTCCCTTGGTAGTTCCAAAATAGGAAATTAATCATGGACACTTTGATAGAATCAGGGTATCCTTATTGGCTTGGGGGGATGGTTGTTGCCTCCTGGACCTGTACATAAATTAGTCCCTCTTAGTTATTTAGATTGATCGACTCTGCTGTCATCAAGGTATTAAGAGTATCTTGTAATCACGTTTCACACGTTATCAACGTGTAATGGTTGGTCTCTGGGGTCTTTAATGGCACTTGAGCTTTCAACCTGCTTTTCCACAGTTTTAATCCAATCCGCCAGAGCGGCTTGGGTGTGTTTGTTCTTCTCGTTTGCTTTCTTTGGCTTCAGTTCTTTACAGTTTATGTTAGGTTTAGGCAGGGGCGGAGGGAGCCACTGCACACTAGTTATTTTGATAAAAGTGTTAAATTTAGTTTAATTTGTTAATGAAAATAGAGAAAAAAATTGCATACCCAATTTTTTTTAGAATATGAGCATTAAAATTTTAGACCCCATTTTTAATTTCTAGATCCGCCACTGCGTTTAGGTTTTGCACTACTGCCTTGTTTACCCTTCCCATGCATGGCGTTGCTCCTCATTGATGATGATCCCTCCTCAACAATCGCCACTGCTACGTGTTGATCGCTACCCACTTTGGTCCTTTAGGTTGTGGTTACTGTAGTTTTTGTCATGTTTGGTGTCCTGATTTTTGGTAAGTAAGATTTGTTTGGTGTATGGTTGTGTTTCATAATGTGATTTGATTGATGTCTCTCTCATAAATAATTGTATCACTTTCCGCTTTACCTGTGTTTCATTTCCCTGGTTTCCTATGATTTTCGCTTTCACTTCCTCTTTTCTTTCCTTGATTTCGATGTTCCACGTGAACTTCTGATGCTGATTCTATAACTGCATCGTCTTTTGTCATTGTTTCCAATGTTTCTAGTGCTTGGAAGCGAGATCCATGACTGGTATTCGCTCGTTGTGGATCTTTGTTAGCCTTTTCCGAGCTTTCGCAATCAACCATGGTCCACAAATTGTGTCCCCGCTAGGCTTGTCAACACTACCATCATGTCTTTTTCCTTGGTTTGTTCCATTTGTTTTATTTTGTATTGATAGAGGTGCCACATACTTCCGTTGCATGCCCAGATTTGTCGCACTTGTAGCAAATTTGACGTAGTCCCTCGTACTCCAATTGTTGTATTACTCCATCAATGCGGATGCTAGAATTTTCCACTATCACTGCAATTTTAGAAAATTTCCCACGATCACCAACGTGTGTATTATAATCTATCTTAACCATTTTTTCGATAATCGTAGCGATATGTCTAAACAGGCTTTGGAGTAGTATCAATATGGTAGTTTAGGAATTCTCACCCAAACGACCACTTGCGAGTGGAACTTCTCTGAGGTAGAGAAGGTTCTGCTCCATGGTTGAACGATGAGGTAGCTACCATATACAGTCCAAGGTCCTTCCATGAGAACGCGCACATAGTCACACACCATCTCTACCATCACCAGGTAATAGTCATTATCAAGGTCTACCACCTGATATTTGCCTTTAGGCTTCCACAATAATTGGATCCTCTCCAGTAAGGTTTTGTAGACTATCCTCCTCCCTAGCAGCCTTACTATAATGGACCTACACATGCTTTGATTGATCCTCTCATGGATTTTTCGAATAAATTGACTGATGGTACTAGTCCGCTTGTATCGATCACTACGTCTCCCTCTTCTAATAATACGTTATCTAGGCATGGGGGTGGTTCGGACCCAACAGCCTGTTTCGTCTTACCAGCTACTGCACTAGCATACGACAATGACCTCTGAGGTTGCTCTCTTCTTTCTTTAGGTCCCTCTTTGTTTTCTACCTTCTCATCGACATTATTTTTTGTCATACGAATATCATCCTCTTCTAGGTTTATCGATTTCGACGACGACCCATCTTTGTTCCCGGCTTCCTTCAGACCATACAATTTATCCAATGGTGAGCATGGTCTTTCTAGGACTTCAGTGGTTGTCAGATTAATATTCTCAATAACGTGGTTAAGCGCTCTGGTGACAGGGGGTTCAGCCAGTGGTAATCTATATGGTTCAGCCGGTGGTACTAGATTTTGCGGTGGGGTTTCATCGATGGGTTTTGTGACGGGGATTGCGGGAGGTTTTCGCATGTTACTCCATGATGTTTTCCTTCTTCCAATCGCAATTTATAGGATGGTTTACTTTGTAATTTACCTTATATATGCGTGTGGAGTATCTTTCTTCGTGTATATATTACACTAAAAATAAAGAATTTCAGGTTATTAGATGAGTTTTTTTCATAAAAATTAAAATTTTCAACTTTTAATTTCAATTATCGAGTTATATTTATGTAATAGTTTTAAATTAATATAAAATTAAAAATATTTTACTATATAATTGCTTGTAATGAATAATATTTCGAACGTTAAGTTTTACAAAATTCACTAATACACAACAACTTGATATAAAATGAAACATGTAACGAAAGTATGTGAAATATGAAAATGGCATGAAGTGTCAAATGCATTTAACAAATTTTCAACACTACACAGAGTTTTACCACAAAATTAACTAATATTTCTTCATAGACACACAAACACAAAATAGATTTAATTCACGTCTGATTATGGTTATTCACGTGAATGGGCTATCACCCACAAAGTTGATGTATTTACAAAATGATTGTTGTTTGAACGTCATAAGATCACGTATAATTGTTGACATTATGAAGTTATGACCCAGGCCAATAGACACCCACTGATTAATTTTATGAACAATTGATATTCTAATTTAGTAATATCTCTTATTCTGATTTAGAGAACAACTAATATTATGCTGGAAAACTTGTGTGTGTACAAACACGAGGACTCCAGAGATTTTACAAATACTAGAGAGAAATTATGTACATCTTGACTGTTAACTATACATGCTTATTCGCAACAAGTCGAACTTTATTCAGAGATTCTTTAAATGCTTGCCATGCAACCGTATAATGATCTTGGGATATCATCCCTTCTTCAACAACTTGCATCGACCGTCTATACAAATGATCAAACAACTGAATGGGGTTGCTGCTGTCGACGTTATTGGATCCAACATTCGGAATGTATAGCCGCTTAAAATCTTTCCTCCACCGAGACAAGATATACTGAAAAGGGACTTCCTCCACGCCATTGTACTTGAGGACATACAAACCGTGTCGGCAAAGGTAGCCGTTGAAGTTAAAGCAGCTGCATATGCAACGGACTTCCATTCCGGCTTTGTCATACATAACTTCAAAGTTCCTCATATCGCCTCGATCTCCTTCTGCCTCATGTTCTTTGATCATGTAGGTTATGACATGTCCATTGGCATGACTTTGTGTTATGCTCAAACAAGGCATCAACACAACCTCATCTTGGAACCTCCTGAAAATTTCATTTGCATACGACTTGGAAAGCTGTAATTCGTAGGAGCATCTTGTTTTCAACATGGGACTCGAATCTCTCGATTCAATATCGCTGACAGCTTCTCTTTTTCGCTTCTTTTGCAAAACTAATTCATACATATCAAAAAACTCTTTCAAAGAAGTTTGCTTATGCACATAACCGTCAAAAAACGAGCTCATGGATTCACCATTTTGAAAACTGCACATCCCAGCCAAAAATGTATCTTTTTGGTAAACCGGAGCCCATCGCTCTCTTTCCTCATACAAAGAACAAAGCAATGCTTGATCTGTAATTCCAAAACGTTGAATCAAATCATCCCAGCCCATTTCGAACTCCTCCACCTTTACGGTCTCATACACTGTCCTATTTAATATCATTTGAAAGACACCAGATTCCTGTAACTCTCCCAGATTCCCAAGAATACTTTGCACGACATGAGACAAATGCAGCCGATGGTGAGTCCTAGGAAATACCTCGGATATAGCACTTTGCATGGCCCTGCAATGGTCTGTGATTACGGTTTGCGGAGGGCGACCAGACATACAAGTAAGCCATGCCCTAAATAGCCAAGCATATGTTTCGAATGTGTCATCAGCAACCAAACCACAACCCAACAAGATAGACTGCCCATGATGGTTTACCCCAACAAATGCCACAAGAGGAATCTCATGTTTGTTTGACAAGCAAGTGGTATCAACCGCAACACATCACCAAAGTAACCATATGCAGCTCTAGACCTAGAATCTATCCAGAAAACATTCCTTAAACACCCTTCATCATTGAGGTCTATAAGGTAAACAAAGTTCGGATCAGTAAGCTGAATGTGGCTAAAAAAATTATATATAATCTGGGAATCTCCTTTTTTAAGCTTCAAACACCTAGAAAGATCAACACACTCACTAATTTCTCCTTCAAGTGAATTTGAGCTTCCATAACCCACTGGATCGACCATAGATGTACGGTATAACTTGATTGTCCGTACTTCTACATCCACAGTTGGCTCCACCTTCCTTTTGGCCACAGCATCCAACTTCTTGTGTGACTTACAATTCTGCGCTCTTTCATGGTCAAATAAGTGATTGTGTTCCAGTTTGACTTCATCCACCCTCCATCTATTAGATTCCACTAACCTCAACCTTATCATGGCGAGACAGCCAGTTCTTGTTTCCTTCCGGCGACTGTTTGCTTCTTTGATCGTTTTGAAACCCTCACAGTTACAACAGAGCACAGCTCCGCGTTTCTCTTTGCTGTTACGCTTTGTCCACGAAGATTTCACCCTGATTGCAAATCCTAGCTCCTTGGAGTAACAGTTATAATAATTATAAGCATCGTCGTATGATTCAAACTCCATCCCCACAGCTGGCGGTGGATAGTTTTCCCCTTGGGATATGCCATTTTCAACAGAAACTGCAGTTGAATCATCCCCGTTGCTTTCATGATTGTCTTCAATATCGACCATTTGGTCACAATCATCCTGAAGGTCGTTGCTTTCAATATCGAGGCCGTTTTCTTCAATCTCAAGTCCATTGCTCTCGAAATCAACGTCGTTCACTTCCATTTCAAGCTCATTTCCATCATCCTCAAAGAGTTGCTCCCTGTTTTGAGAACCCCTTTCAATCTGAAATGGAAACCCCGTCAAATGGTCAACTGACACTTAGAGAACATACAAACAGGATACACAAGTAACTCGTAAACTAAAAGCTAATACATGATCTCTGCAATTTCAGGTCTTTCCAACTGTACTTCGTTTTTAATAAAAAAAATATAAGAAAACAGGGAAAAGTTTATGTTAAAAAAGAAGATAGTAAATTTAAATATGTCCTTCATTCAAAGTCATTATTTTTTCATCAGCATGGTTTTGCTATTAACAGTAATAGTTAATAACACATCCAATAACATTGAAATTTAGAAAAGTTCATCAAATGTTTGACTTCTGATGCTTCAAAAATCGAGAAGTAAAATGTGAAACCGGAATGGAACAGAACAAAATTCTCTACTCTTAAAACTAAGGATAATTTTAACGTTTCCAGGTACAAAAATGAACAACAAAGTTCCTTCTAAATTAACTAATAGAAAGTGTTGATTAAGAACAGTAAAAGAAGTTCAAGAACTATAACCCTAGAAATGGGGAAATTGGAAATTGGGAACGGAAAAGGAGGAATTTGGGTGAATGAAATGGGGGAACGTACCGTGTCATGGAGGTCGGGTGGCGGAACCTGGTGGTCGCCGGTCATGGTTAGAGTGAGGGTGAGGCAGCCTTGCGTCAAAGTACGAGAGGTTAGTTTTACCCTAAGGCTCTCTTTGTCTCTATTCCCACCTGGTCCTTTATTTTTACTGTATTTGCTTGCTTAGATGATAAACTAGGGTAAACAATACTGGTGTCTGGTGGTCCCTTTTTTTTCTTTTTGGCCTGTTCGGTTATAACTAGGGGTGTTCAAATTTTTGAATTAATTCGGTTAACTGATCGAATCGAATTAGTTCGATTAATTCGGTCGATCACCGAATTAGTTCGATCGATTAACGGTTAAGAAAATTTTTATATTTCAATTAATTCGGTTCGAAATCGGTTAATTAACAGAATTAACCGAAATTAAATTTTAAATATTAAATATATTATATATAACATATGGGCTTAACTCAAACTATTTAAAACTCAATTAATAATTTAAGATTCAATAATTTTTAAACCTAAATCAATATTAATTAATTAAAAAATTTATATAAAATTTTTATTTTATAATTATATATTATTTAAATTAATTGTAAACTATTTTTTTGAATTAAAAATATTAAATATATTATATACAACATATGGGCTTAGCACAAACCATTTAAAATCTAATTAATAATTTAGATCCAATAACTTTTAAACCTAAATTAATATTAATTAATTAAAATTTTATATAAAATTTTTATTTTATAATTATATATTATTTAAATTAATTAGAAACTGTTTTTTAATTAAAAAATATTTAATTTTTATATAAATTAGAAAAATTTAAATTTTTTTGTTTAATTCAAAAATTAACCGAATTAACCGAAATTTATTCGGTTCGGTTAAAATTTTCGGAAAAAAAGTTCGGTTAATTCAATTAATGGTAATTCGGTTCGGTCGGCCACCGAATTAACCGAATGAACAACCTTAATTATCATCATTTTGAATTTTTTTTGTTTTGGTCACTTTTATTTTTGATTCGTCTTATTTTCATCATTGGATTGTTAATTCTTGTTACTTTCTTGAGGTGCTACATTATTAAAAATAGTTAAATTTTAATCTAATCTCTAAATTTTAGATAAAATATTAATTTGATATTAAATATATATAAAATATTAATTTAACACCTAAATTGTATCACGTCGATCACCAACACTAATCACCGTCATTGGTCAAGGCCAACCGCATCTCCAATAACAGTTGGATTCCAAAATTTTCAATTCAATCTCTTTTGACCTTCTGAACGTAAATTTAATGTATGTATCATTGGAAAAAAATTGAAAAAACAAAAATTAAAAAATTAAAATTAATATAAAAATAAAATTAATTTCTTCTATAAGCATCTTAACTTCAATATATATATATATATATATATATATATATATATATATATATATATATATAGGGACAAGATTCGTTTGTACTATGTAAAACTAATAAGTTTTACACTAATTTAATGTCATTAGATTTAAATAAATAAATGGTTTAAATTTAATTAAAATTTATAACACATAAATAAATATATTTTAACACAAAGTAAAACAATATCTCTTCTTACCCCAATTCTAAATCTTAAACATTAAACTATGAACTCTCAAACCCTAAACTCATATCTTAAGCTTAAATCCCAAATTTTAAACCTTAACCATAAAAAGAAAAAAATTATTTTATTTTAAGTTAAAGAAATATTTATTTATGAGTTATAAATTTTAATTAAATATATGTCATTTATTTATTTGAATCTAATGGTTATAAATTGATGTAAATCTTCGATTAATGATAATTATCAATAGCAATTTATAAATCTACCTAATAATATACTTAGTTATGAGTTTATCTAGGCAAATGCTTTAATTGGATCATCAAATCATGGATCTGTAGAGTGCAACTTTGGACTGGTACTAGTTAGTTTCCAAAAGCTATTTTTCTGTGATTCAAGATGGAGCAAAGGGAAATTTCAAAGGGATTTGAATTCCATGGTACAAAAGGGACAGGTTGGATCTGTGTATGGCTAGTGGGCATGTAAACGAATCGAATGAATACAAATGTAGTACGTTCATGTTCGTTCGTTTAACTTTAATCGAACAAATGAGCGAACACGAACATAAACGGATAAAAAATTTCTTGTTCGTGTTCTTTCATTAAGAAATGTAGTTTGTTCGTGTTCGTTCATTTAAATGATAAACGAACACAAATGAACAAACGTAAACGAACGGATGTAAACGAACACAATAAACGAACGTAAACGAAAACAATAAATAAATATAAATAAACGTAAACGAACATAAATGAAAATGGATTTTTTTTCTTTCCTAACAATTTTAAGATTATATTTTATTTAATTGTTTTGAGCTTTTTTTATTTGTATTTAAAATTAATTGCATTTTAAAATATTTATAGATACCATATTAAAATTTATCAGGTTTTAATATTTTAAATGGATCTAGAGAGATCAGGCTAAACATAAATGAACGCACATAAACGAACAAACATAAACGAACGAACATAAACAAACATAAATGAACGAACGAACGAACTCTCTGTTCATATTTGTCATTTAATTAAACGAACACAAAATATTATTCATGTTCGTTCGTTTAATAAATAAACAAATTTCCCGTTGAACTATTTGTTGAACGTTCGGTTTATTTACAAGACTAATTGCTAGCGGAAATTGGCTGCCACTTCTCTCATCTAGAACCCAGCCAACGTGTGCTCTGCTTGAAAACCATCAATCCGTCATCCTTGATGCTTAGCACTCGAGCACGTAGTGCCTAGCGTGCCTCTATCCAAGGTATCAGTGCGCTCCAACCATCACCTCATGCCTTAGACTCGGTTGCGCATCTGCCTATGCTCCTACACCCATACAACAGTTTTTGTGCATCCCTTAAGTAGTCTTTGCGCACTCCTACTAGCCCACCAGCACCCTTGTCTTGTGCATACACTCATTACCCAACCATGCATTTTGTTCAACACCTGCCCAATTTGTTGGGCACCTCTGTCGCATACAAGCTACCACTCCACAATTCTGTTGTCGTCGCTTTGTTATTGCACATGAACTCGGATCTCCCTCTGTCAAACCTGCTATAACTGTTAGATTGTAATATTGTACACATTTAAGAAATTTATCATGCTTTTCTTCTTGTAATTCCTTCGTAAATTATATCTTCTTTGTCCTTTCGTTTTAGGACCTTAATGTCTTTGAAGTTTTTCGTACAAAAGAATCTTGAACCCAAAATCAAAGCGGTGATTGTTGAATACTTGTAACCCAAAAGAATCAACCACAATAAATCTCCATGAGTCATCCTAGAATAACTAGTCTAGCTTTCCATTTGATATTTCCATCTTCATCTCAAAATCCATTTGATACGTCTGGTTTCTCCAGCCAACAACAACAAAATTTATACAATCCCACGTACTATAGATCTTATGAAGATCTTACCAAGCCTATTACGGTACCCATGACAAATCCAACCAACATTTTCTCCCACCACAATAGCAACAAAACCCATTTCTCTACAACCAAAACACCCTTTACAAATTCATAGTTTTACAAGGCGTTGCAAGCGCAGTTCCAGTTCTCCTAGATGAATCAACTACAACTGTAGTAGCAAAATCAACAAGTGTTACTATAAAAAAAATCTTCAAGAGTTGTTGTTCTCTCAACGTCGAGGCATGAGGTAGATAGTGAGGGTAAAAGAAAAGAAAGTCTTAAATGTTGAAGAGTGACATTAGCAAGAGCAAATTGTTGCTCGTCTAAACTACAACTGGTAAATTTGACTCGTATTCAATTATTCAAACTGATTTATTTGATTTAAGATCTGATATTTATCTGAATAGGATGATTTAAAATTAATCTAAAACTCGAAATAACTTAAATTGAATTGAAATCAACCCAAATTTTAGTTAAACTAAAAGTAACCGAACTGAAATTAACTCAAATCGAAATTAAATGAATCGAAAACAATTCAAACTAAAGTAATCCGAATAAAAAACTAAAAAAGTTTCTCAGAAAACATTTTAAGGGTCTTGATACTTTTGTTCAGCTGATGGATTGTTTCTTCAGAAAAAATAAACCATTTGACTTCAAGCTAGGGCTGACCGCATTTTTTTTTCTTGTTTCTCTGGAACCAAACAGTTCAAAGGAAAAGTGGGGTATTTTAAAGGTAATTAATGTTCTAATTGATGGGTGCTGATAAATTTGGTATAATCATTGATGGGTTCGCTTTTGTTTGTAATGTAGAGTTACCTACTTGTAGTTAGCTGGTTAGTACTATTATCAAGCCTAGCTTATTGAATGGGCATCTTGAGGTCTACCTTTCGGTTTCCTTGTATCCATTAAAGTTAAAACGTAATTTGTATTTTTATCGATTGGCATTGGTTATTCAGTGATAATGATAAGTTGGTTCTTTTTTATTTGATGAAAAATTGTAGATTTTATCAGTGAGACACGATGGGCAATTCTTCTTCAATGCTTACTCAATATGATATCGAAGAAGTTCAAAATCGCTGCCAGAAATTATGTAGGTTGTCTATATGCTTGGTTTCTTCGATTTGTTCTTCCATTTTGTTGTTTTATCAAACAAATTTTGACTTGTTCGTGATTGTGGGAATGCAGTCTCCCAGCAGGAAATTGTTTCATTGTACGAAAGGTTTTTTCAGTTAGATCTAAATGCAAAGGGATTTATATCTGCCGATAAGTTATTATCAGTTCCGGAGTTTGCAATGAATCCGCTCTCTCAGGTAGTCTTTCGAGTTGATGTTATTGGAGTCATTAATTAAATTCTGGGTGTGAATATGAATTTGTGATCCAATGTTAGCGTTTACATGCTTTTCTAGAGTTTTATTAAAGGATTGAATTTATTCTGTTGATGTCTTGGCATATACAGAGGTTGCTTAAGATGGATGGTTTGAACTTTAAGGACTTTGTTGCCTTCTTGTCAGCATTTAGTGCTAAGGCAAGCGTACAGCAGAAAATAAAACGTGAATTTTCACCGTCTTTTCCCTAGAGTTTTGACTTTGTCGGTTAGGTACAATCTGATTTGAATCTATGGTCACAAGAAAAAGAATTCAGATGATTACCTTTTATTTCCCCTTGTTAGTTGAAGTTTAAAAATGTTTAAAAATTAGTTTGTTTTTAATTTTTTTCTCTGTTTCAGTTATCTTCAAAGTGTATGATTCTGATGGCAATGGAAAGGTGTCTTTCAATGACATACTAGAAGTGTTACGCAATTTGTCCGGTTCTTTTATTTCTGATAACCAAAGAGAGGTAAAACCAATTATTTCTTCCTTCAATGGTTTTCATTTTATTTTTATATTATGATTGAAAAATAATAAATAAATAAAAGTGCAAGTGAATGCTGATGATTGCTTGTATTCTGACCATAATTTACTTTTCCATCGGTAAAATATGCGTAAATTCACTTATTTGATTTTCTGTTTGCATCCATTGTGGGATATCCAGTGCACTCTTGCTGTTAGCATGCTGAAAAACAATGAAAACATCTAATGTAATGAATGAATTTAGTTCAAAAAATCCTATTAGCAATGTCTGTTTGTGATGATAAAGAAAAAAATATGAAAAACCTGTTACAGAATCAGCAATAAAAGGAGAAATGGAGAATCTTTGTGCAAAAATGCAAATCAGTCTTATCTGTAATTAATATGTTTACAGTTTTTTCTATGTCTCCGGATTCAGATAACTTCGGATGCGAGAAAGATATGTATTGTTAATTTTCTACAATCTTTTTTGTATCAATTTTACATTTTGACTATCCACAATACAGGGAGAAAGAACTAAAGCAAACTGATCTTGTAGGTTCCCTTGAATTTTTTATTTTCTTTCTGAAGCAGATGATTTTCGTTTACGATGAATCATTATAAAGGCGTTTGCATGATTGGTTTGACTTTCTGGCTCATTCACTCCATCTGGATATAGAAGGAATCAAAAGAAGCGTTTTAGTTGTTCATTTTCTTTTCATTTGATTAATATATACAATGAGCACCTTCATTATTAGTTCTACTGAGATGACCCTAACTGAAGGTCTGTTTCATGCAAAATGATTTTTGGGAAATGTTTTCTTCATTTTCTTGTGTTCTTTAGAAATAGCTTGGTCAATAGAAAATGATTTACTGAGGCTGTTAATGAATACTTTAGTTTTTATTCCTCGTTAAATCTCTCATGGTACTTAGTAAACTCATATTTGATCAAAGCTGTCTCAAGTAGGGTGTTTGGTCCTGAAAAGCATGCATTGGCTACTAGCTAATGACTACCAGTGATTTAGTGATTGCATCATATGATGATGATGATTTACTGAAGAAAAAATAAAGCATAAACCATTGGAATCCTACCAAGAAAAAGATGAGAGAGAGTGTCAGAGAGAAAACTGGAGAGAGAGAGAGTATCTTAGGTTTTCAGTCCTCTGGCGAGGATTGGACGGTGTTTGTGGATAATCTGAGCAAAAGAGTCTCTTGGAAAACAGTGAAGGAAATTTTTCAACAACAGGTCGTGTACTGCGAGTTTTCATCCCGAGTAGTTATAGCAAACCGAACTATAGTAATCATACGTTTGCTTTCGTTCAGTTTGCAAAGGAGGAAGGATTGAAGAAGGCGGTGAAAAATGTCAATGGTATTTGGATTGATGGAAAGAAAATATATGTTGGGGTAGCTAAGTATAAGAAGCAGAGACCTTGCCAAGTGGACAGTAGAAATTTCATAAGGGAAGAAGATATGTTGTATAAGGGAGGATATTGGAGAATAAAAATTGATATTGAGTCCTTTAATAGATTGAGAGATGAAAGATCGTATAAGGATGCGTTAGTCTCCAATGTTGGGATGAGGGAAGATCGGGTGAGCAAAGAAAATAGGGTGGGGATTCCTAGGAAGAAATCAGGGCTGAGGAACTTGTGGGAGATGCACATTCCCTCGGATGAATCGGATTGGGTGAAAAGATCATTGGCAGGGATCATTAAAACACACTTTGATTTGGATCTAGTGATGAAAGGTCTGGCGAGTGATGGGATCAAAGTCAAGTTAGTCAAATGGGGTTACGCAAGAAACTCTTGCATTTTAACCTTTGCTTCAGTGGAGGAATTAAAGGAGGCGTGGTCGAGTAGATTGAGATATTATCATTTTGGTTTGAATGGCTTGATATGCTTCTGAATGAGGAAGGCTTACCGATGTCATTTTGCTCGGTTGAATTAGTTGGAGTTCCGTTATTATGTTGGAATGTCCTGTTTCTGGAAAAACTTGTTTCAAGATGGGGGAAGTGATTTGCATTCAAGATTCGACGGCTAGAAGAGAGGATATGGCGGTTGCAAGGGCATTGTTGAGGGTGGCCAGTCTTTTGATATACCGGAAACAGTTACACTTGGATCGTATGGGAGATCTTATTTGGTTAAAATTAATGTGGGCTCGGTTTATTTGAAACAGAATGGTTTTTCAGCAGTGAATTCAGCGGTGGACGGCGGTGGAGCGTACAGGGAAGTTGCAACATCAGAGGAGGGAGATGATCGGTACTCAGGAGGGGTTGGTAGGTCAGACATATTAGTGAGGATACTAGAGGTAGAGTCGACACGTGGTTGGAAGGGGATGTATGTAATGTTGCGACTGGTGGTTGTGAGGATCAACATTTAATGGGGCAGGTAGATGAAGGTCAACCCAGTGGAGAAAGGGTGTCAGAACTACGAGAGGAAAATTTGAATTTAAGAGGGGAATATCTGGGCCTCGGGTTGAGGAATAATATATGTTATAGTAGTGAAAAAGCACAGTCAGACGACTTTAGTGAGCCCACCCCAATTAATACAAGACTCTCTCTAACTGGGCCAGCTGTTAACTTAATAGAATTGGGCTATGGTAAACAGATAGATCCTCAGGTGACATTCCAAGTGATCTTCAGCAGACTGATTTGGAGAAATCAAACTTGCAGATTTTGATTCCTGCTAAGCTTGACTCTATTTTAAAAAGGAATACTGGAGAATCAAATGTCAGAATTCAGTCACATTGTAGAGGGCTTTCTAAAAATAATAATTCTGAAGGGATAGAGGAAGAAGTTGAACTGGACAAAGAATTTAGAAGTATAGAGGAAACAGAGGTGGAAAGGGAACTCGTACCAGTCCAAAAGGTTGGAATTCAAGTGTTGGGAGCCAATCAGGAGTCTGTCATAAATGGTTTAAGGAGTTGGAGTCCTTTGGACCTCTTGTCTGGAAGTTTGTGTGGTAGGAACGTCCAGTAGGAAGGTGGAAAAGAGGATCTGTATCTAGAGTATATAGAAGAACTAGGGTAAGAATGGTGTGGCATAATCCGAGTAGAAAAGATGAGGGACTTCAAATAAGGGAGTTGGTTGTTCAAAATAGGAATATTCTAATCCCTAGTTTGAGCAGACAATCATATCTAAATTCCTTAGTGGAAGGGGCCAATTCCATTAATGAGGAATTTGATGTTCCTCAGATTTCAGAAGTGGGTATTGCTCAATATTCAAGGAATGTAGAAGAGTTCTCTACTGGATATATACCTGGTTCTATGCCAGGGAGAGTGAGTAGAAGTAGGAGAAGGCTTTTGATCAGAGAAGCTTTGGATGTGGTTAGTTTCCCTAAGGTTTATTCTTCAACATTCTCGTTGTTCTTGGAGGAGGCTTTGGCTACATGGGAAGTCACAAAATACTGGGGATATCTTTTAAAGAGGAAGAAGGCTTTTCTAGACAAAATTATAAATTTTGAGGAGGGAATGGCCGAAAGTAGGGAATGGGGGAATTCAGGGGATTAGTGTTCTTCTGTTGACTAGCTTAAAGGTTTTGGTGTTGAATTTCTCATTATGATAAATGTCAACATAATTTCATGGAATGTAAGGGGTTTTGGAAAAAAGGAAAAATCAAGAGCTGTAGCTAATTTGGTGAAGAGGAATAAGCCGAACTTTCTTCTAATGTAAGGTATTGTTGTTCCAGCAGTGGGATCTGCAGGTGGATTAATGATTATGTGGAATGAAAATGATTTTGTAGTCTCAAACAACCTCTTAAATGGCAGATTCATAGTAGTCTTTGGGAAGTTCAGAAATTCAACTGAAGAGTGTGATTATAAATGTTTATGGTCCATCAATTGAAGTAGAAAAGGAAGATTTTTCAAGGAACTATTGGAGTTTGTGTCTGCTCAAAATTTGTTAGTGTGTATCGGGGGAGATTTTAATGTGTATCTCGATCCGGATGAGAAGTTGGGCAAGTCCCAAAATTGGCATTCTATTGATTTATTTAGAAACTTCTTACAGCAATCGAACTTAATTGATCTCCCTATGGTGGGAGGAAGGTATACTTGGTGTAATAATAGAGAAGACTCTACTTGGGAAAGACTCGACAGGTTCTTAATCTCTGGGAGGTTTCTGACTTGTTTTCCGAATGTAGTGCAAATACTTTTGCCTAGATCCTTATCTGACCATAATCCAGTTTCACTAGAGGATAAAGCTGTTAATTGGGGTCCTAAACCATTCAGATTTTTTAATTATCTATTAAAGGAGGAAGGATTTGAGGAATTGGTTAAATCTTCCATGGTTGCTATGAGGGGGAGAAATAACAGAAGGGGAATCTTCAACATCTTACAAGGAACAAAAACATCAATCAGAAAATGGTCAAGCAGTAAATTTTTTGGGATTTATGAGTCGATTTCTGATTTAGAAAGGCATATTAATGAACTGGATTGTAAAGCTCAAGGTGGAATTCTCTCGAAGCAGGAGTGGAATCAGTTAAGGCAGTGTAGAACTAATCTATGGAGGTTGTATAGAATCGAAGAAAGCACTTGGTTTCAGAAGTCAAGGACTAGATGGATTAAAGACGGGGATAGAAACACAAGGTTTTTCCATCTGTCTGCACTGAACAGAAGCAAAAGAAATGAAATTTTAAGCTTGATGATAAATGGGAATGTGGTTTCAGATCCTCAACAGTTAAAGTAACATATTTTAGAATTTTTTAAGGCAGCCTACAACTCCAATTCAACAATGGAAGTGGAGGACTTACTTCTGGAATTTGCTAAGCTGTCAGGGGAACAGTCTAACAAACTTGAAGAGCAATTTTTAGAACAGAAAATTTGGCAGGCTATAGCTTCATCAGACAGCTCTAAAGCTCCAGGACCGGATGGTTTCACAATGGGTTTCTTTAAAAAATGCTGGCCAAGTTTAAAGGAACACGTGTTGAAATTTTTTGAAGATTTCTATTTTGGAAGGAAATGGGAGCATGGTGTAAATCATGCTTTTATCACACTTATTCCGAAGAAGCTAAATCCGGACAGTGTAGAGGAGTTTAGACCAATTAACTGAGTTGTTGTGTTGGTGATATTATTAGTCAATCTCAGTTTGCTTTTATACCGGGGAGACAGCTGTTGGATTGTGCTTTTATAGCAAATGAAGGGATTGATTACTGGAGAAAACAAGGGTTACAAGGGGTTGTCTTCAAAGTAGATTTTTGTAGAGCTTATGATTATGTGGAATGGCCAATTTTAATCAGAGTAATGTCAGAGATGGGTTTTGGCAAGAGATGGTTGTCGTGGATATCTCAGTGTATATCAACAGCTTCAATCTCGGTTCTTGTAAATGGGTCTCCCTCGGAAGAGTTTCCTATGGCCAAAGGACTTAGGCAAGGGTGCAATTTATCTCCGTTACTGTTTAACATTGTAGGTGAGCTGCTTCATTTGATGATAACTAAAGCAGTAGACAGGGGTCTGTTTCAAGCTTTTCTCTCCCAGATTAAAAATGTCAAGAGAGTGTTGAGGATTTTTAGTATTATGACAGGGTTGCATCTAAATCTAGCTAAGAGCAAGTGTTTGGTATTAATGTGGAAGAGGAAGTCTTAACAGAGTGGGCATTAGCAGTGGGCTGTTCAGTGGGTTCCTTTCCAACAGATTACTTGGGACTTCCTCTCAGTGCTAAGAAAAACTCAGAAGCTCTATGGGATCTAGTTTTCAAGAATTTTAGCTCCAAACTTTCCGGCTAGAAAGCTTCTTGCCTCTCTTTGGCTTGCAGGACAGTTTTATTGAAGTCGGTGCTAACTTCCTTACCAATATTCTTCTTATCTCTTTTTAGAATGCCTTGCATTATTGGTAAGAAGCTCAATTCATTAATGGCCAGATTTCTATGGGGGGTAATGAGGAAAAAAGGAGGATACAGTGGGTTAATTGGAAATCAGTTTGCAAGCTTCTGAATTCTGATGGTCTTGGTGTTCTTGATGTGAATCTTTCTAATCGGGCTCTTTAGGGAAAATGGGTGTGGAAGTTTGCCAATGAAAAGAATACTTTGTGGAAAAGTGTGTTATGTTGCAGACACAAGGTTAGTTGTAATTCCATGTCTATTAGCAAGGTGTTTACGCCCAAATCTTCTTGGATTTTGAGAGGTATTGCTAACAATTTCTTGAAGAACGACTCGGAGGGTGAATGGATCAGATCACACTCTAAGTTGAAAGTGGGGAATGAAAAGTCTATTTCTTTTTGGACAGATACATGGGCTGACGAGTTTCCTTTAAAAAATCTTTTCCCTAGAATGTATGTTGTTTACAAACAGATGGGGTAAGGTTGCTGAGTTTGGTTGTTTTGATTTGAATGGTTGGGTGTGGAACGTCGAAACCAGAAGGAATTTGTGCGACTGGGAATTGGAGCAGTGGCTGGAATTGATGACAAAACTGAATGACTTTAAACTGACAGAATCAGTAGAAGACTTTAAACTGACAGAATCAGTAGAAACTTTCTTTCTTGGTCTGCAAGTAGGGATGGAATGTTTTCAGTAAAATCTTGTAGAAATGCACTCGGGAATATGTCGGGGGGTTCTGATATGTGGTTAAAAGGGGTGTGGCAGGGATTATCTCCTCCTCGTGTTGAAGCTTTCCTGTGGCAGCTAGCTCATCAGAAAGTGGCAGTGAGAGAAGAATTGGTGAAAAGAGGAATGCAGCTAGGGGATGAAATTCTTTGTCCGTTTGTAAGGAACAAGTGGAATCAGTGCAACATTTATTTATTTCGTGTGTTGTAGTTTGGGAACTATGGAATAAGATAGTAAGCTTTTGGGATATAGCTTTGGTACTTCCAAAGGACCCACCTTCTTTGCTCAGTTCTTGGGGTGAACTGAGGGGGAAATCGTTGATTTGGAAATTTATTCCGGGAGTAGTATTTTGGTCGATTTGGAAAGCTAGGAATACAATGGTGTTCGAAGGTGCTCCCCTTGATAGGATTTCTCTGTTTTTTATTGCTAGATTCAGGTTATCTAAATGGTTTCTAGCCAAGTACCCTAAGTTTCCTATTCAGGAGGATGTGTGATTGATGATCCATCTCTTGCATACGGTATTAAGGCTCTTAATCCTAAGAATGTTCAGGTGATTCGCTGGTTCCCACCCCCTGTTGATTTTTTGAAGATGAATGTTAATGGAGTGTTAGACTTGATGGCACAAATGGAGGTATAGGAGGTATTTTGAGAGACTGGAACAACAACTCTCTTCTGACTTTTTCATAAAATATAGGTCAAGGTCCCCTCCGTTGCTGAGTTAAAGGCTATTAAGAGAGGAATTGAAATCTATGTCTTCTTGTTGGGTTACTATTGGAAGGTTGATTGTGGAAAGTGACTGTAAGTCGGCTGTGGAATGGATATTGACCCCAACTTTGGCCCCTATTTTTATCTTACCTTTAGTTAAGGAGATTTCATCACTCATCTCGGATAGGGTGCACTCAGTTAGATGGATTCCAAGGGCGTGTAATGGGGAGGCTGATAGTTTAGACAAGATGGAAATTGGTTGATTGTTAGGCATTATCAATGAGTTTTATTGTTTGAGTTTTTAGGTTTTTGGTTGTTACTTGAGTGGTTAAGTTTTTGTGTTTTTCAGTTGGAGTTTTTGTTAAACATTATGTAAGTTCGTATGAGTAATAAAATTTTTAAGGAACTCTTCCTCCCTCTGCAGATTAAGGAGTGATTATCAGGCTCCGTTAATCAAGGAGGAGGTTTTTAATGAGGCCTGTTATTCCTATAAAAAAATGATGATGATTTAATGGTGCAATTGACTACTGCATCCTTAAGATTATCTTTAAATTACATAATAAAATTTTCAAAGTTAAACATCATTCTGTATTTTATATAAGTAAATATTTCCATTTCATTTTGGTTGTAACATTACTATGAACAAGATAGAGTATTTTATGGTTTCTCCATTAAGGATAGCAACATGTGAGATTGATCATACGCTTGCGGTGTGCGTTAACAACTTACTCTTTTGTTCTTTCTTTTTTGCAGAAAGTCTTGACCCAACTTTTGAAAGAAGCAGGTTACTCAAAGGACTCTTACCTAACATTGGATGACTTCATTAAGGTGTTTTCCATTTTGTTTATATTACTATTATAGTTTTCATTCTCCTGTTTTCTGCATAAGAGTTTAATTTATTAGGCTGGTAAAAGGAAATTAATGACCGGGAAAGATCAGTATGATTAAATTCAGAGGATATAGTTAGAGATCAATAGAGTCAATTTCATGTTGGATGATTAGGAGAGACCAATATATCCTATGTGACACACATTCAAGTCTGAGTAACATAAAAAATTAGTTAACTCTATATATCATTAGGATTATATTATTTAGTTGTCTAAGTCTATCTTACCATTTTTCCTGAAGTATCGTGCTCATAACCTTTGTCTGATATATATGTGGGTATTGATATGGGTTGTGATTCGCCAAATATATAGGAAAGCTTATGAAAAGTTACCCGTATTCAACGCATGCATTCACTGACCCTTTCTCCAGCAAAAATAGGTCTTACATACCATTTATCACTCGTAGGTGGGCATTCTTTGGCTGTAATATGAATTATGGACCTTTTATACTTGATGAAAGACCTTGGACCAACAACTACTATGCTATATCTGACTGGCTTTATACCTATTTTAAAGTTCCATGTTCTGTTGGGTAAAAAAGGAAGTGAACAATTCAAGGTTTAATTGTATTTGTTGCTTGCATTTTCTGTGCTTTCTGCAACTAGGAATTTGATAATTTGCCTCTATGGGATCTCGATTGAATAAACTACTCGACATAGCAGTGTATGAGGTTCTGAAATGAGATTGAGAAACATTTATAAAACTTCTGACAGGATCTGAAGTGATGTCCATTTATAAAAACTGTCTAGTAAGGTTTGATTTGGGGCTATAATTTTGCTTGAATAATGCTCTTTGATCTTTAGCATTGCTTTGTATTTATGGCATAGGTTCTGGGGAGCTCTGGACTGAAAATGGAGGTTGAAGTTCCGGTTGACTAAGTGAATACATACTACACATATTTGGCTTTTCATGTTCCATAAAGAAAATCAACCTTGTATAACAATAAGCTTCAGGTTTCCCAATTTATCTTCAAAATTCTATTTTTTATAAGTTTAGGTTTTTATGTACCATGGAGGAGTATTTATAGTGGGATTGGTTGGAGGAAGTTTCAATTCAATGGTTATTTGGTTGCGTTCAATATTTATTGGTTTGTTCATTTATTCAACTTTTTTTTATTCTTTTTAAATTATGTTCTGCTTGAAGATATGGATTCAAAAATTTGGATTTAGAGGAAGGATAAGAATGAAATACATATACCATGAATAAATAGTTGAGATTTAGTATAATATATAGCTGAAACTATAAAACTTTAGAGTTATCAAATTTGAAGATTATATTGAGCAATAATCATACGAAACTAGGAGAATTTCAGATTCTACTATATGGACTTTTATCAAATGAGTTCATCCGAACCTATATATAAGTCGAGCATAACTTGTGCTCTGCTCAGTCGCCCGTCGTTATCGTTTTCGTCGTCGTTTCTGCGCAAGTGAATGGCACTTTATACAACGCCATCCAAAATAGCATTACGGGATATCTATAATCATCGCAGAGAGAGCTGATAAGATGGAGACCAATTTCAGGAATTGTCTTACCCTTTATCAAACTGAAAGAAAACCAAATAGGCAAAATACTTTCATTACGCAGACCATCACAAAATACAAAGCTAATCCAGCAAAGAAAAATACTTGAAAGAGATGAATACTCATGTTGGTTGGAATGGTTCTTCGTTTTTACATTTTTAATTTCATAACTCTCTAACGTTCGACTAAATTGTCATTTTGGTTCATATTCTTTTTCTTAGAGCATTTTGATCATATGTTTCCTTTTATGGCAATAAAACTCTTCTATGTATAGAAACTAACGGAAATTTTTATCTTAAAATGAAACGTTAAGAATTAGAACATTTAAAAAAATTAGAGGTTGGAATGACCATTTTGATAAATAGTTTTTATAATATGCTTCTATTATATGTATATATTATGTAATTTTAATCTACATTTCATAGTGACCCCAACGCTTGGGCTTCGTAGTGGTTTAGGGTTTCTACAATTGCACCTACCAGATTGACTTGTGAATTGAGCTGACATTTGGATAGCTTGATATGATCTTTGTAAGTGGCCCAAAGAAATATAATTGAATCCAATAGGGAGATTCACTCGTATAACATAAATCGTGCCTAATATAGATCTGAAGTTGAATAATAACAAAAAACAAGCCCAAATGGTGAGCTTTTCTTAGCACAGAATAAATTGGATTCATCATAGTTTATAATTTGTTCTTTTTTACTTTGGACAAAGAAGTGTGATGGATAAAAGAATAATAATTAATTGGTATTTCTCTTTCGAAGAACTAAGAAGAAAACTTTTTTGAAGAAGGAGAACGGATCCTAGAAAAAGGTCATTTTCTTCAGTCTTGTTTTGATGATAAATATCTGGATTATAGGGTGATTAATGTCAAGTTTAGGTTCATCATAATTACTTTAGGCTATTAATTTGTACAAACCGTAAAATTTGATTATCAAAGTCACATCAAAAGTTAGTGAAGGGAGTCCAGATAACGATGCGACTAAAGTAATTCTTAAGGTGACTTTTAATTGATGTTTGAGGTGATTATATTGACCAAGTCCTCGGTGAATTTATTAAAGTATAACAATTTCAAATATGTTTGACGATTAAATTTATAATACACATATATTATTTAATTTATATTTTCCTTTTAAAAATAATAATACATTTAAAATAGATATTTAAAAAAAATGATAATTCTAGAGAAGGAAGGAGTATTACTTTATGGTGGAAGGACCATTGAGGCCTTATGTAAGAACGCAACGTGCAAATGTGGAAAATTTCGTGTGGGCCCAACAAAAATAAAACTTGAGGATGTTGGCTGTCCCCTAAAACGCACGTTGATAATGAAGGCAAAAAACTTCCGACCCACTAATATCCCGTATTAATTTACACTATCAAAGCTGACCCTCTCAGTCAAAATTTCTCTCATTTTCCCTCTGATTTATCATTCTTCCATTTTCTTCTCCGATCCCAGCAAAACAACACCCGATACAATAGTTTCTTACCTTTAATGTAAGATACTTTCTTACAAAATTAAGCACATTTATTTACTTTTTTTTGCTCCTTCAAATACGACGAAAATGAGTGATGATAATGTCTTGAAAACTTCAAATACTCATAGATATATATTAAAATCTACTTATGTCCGTCATAAAAGTATAAATGAATTAATATATTTTTACTTATTAATGATAATTTTGATTTTTTATTTTTCTTCATTTAATGATCTTAAATTTATTCTCTAACGTAAGATTTTGTATCTATATGTTATTGTTATCTCTCTAATATTCCCTAATCCTTATATAAACCCCTTTCCCGTTCTCTTCTCTTCACCAATATCACTCAGCTTTCTCTTCCTTTTTCTATTCATTAGGAATTAACGTTAAGATGAGTGGTCTTACGAGTTGGCCTGAACCGGTGGTTCGAGTTCAGTCTTTGTCTGAGAGTGGCATGCGTGCTATTCCAGAGCGGTACGTGAAAGCACCAAGTGACCGGCCATCCTTCACTAATGAAACTGAAAACCACCACCAACACGTGGATATTCCAGTTATTGATCTTACTAACCTCTTCGGAAAAGACCCCACTCTCCATGAAGAGACCGTGAGACTCATCGCCGTCGCCTGCGAGGAGTGGGGGTTTTTCCAGGCAGCGAACCACGGTGTTAGCCATGAGCTAATTGAGCGTACGCGCGAGGCGTGGCGTCACTTCTTTAACATGCCGCTTGAATTCAAACAACAGTACGCCAACATGCCGACCACCTATGAAGGCTACGGCAGCCGGTTGGGAGTCCAGAAAGGAGCCACCCTTGATTGGAGCGATTACTTCTTTCTTCATTACTTGCCGGATTCTTTGAGGAATCACAGCAAGTGGCCCTCACAGCCTTCGTTTTGCAGGTGAATTACCAATCCTTAACTGCCCAACGATGTCTCTCAACAGCGATTTTACTATATGCAATCAAACACGTTAGGCGGAAATGGAAAAGAATAACAAACGAATCCAGATTTGACCATAACATATATAACATCAGACCACATAATTGCATGGCTGCTTCAATATTATATTAATATGTTTTTAATCTTTAAAACTTGCTCAATTTATATTAATATGGTCCTTATTTTATTACAAAGTAGTACGTGTCTGATATTAAATCTGGTTAAACCATTGTTTTGAAAACAGGACCGGACCGGCCGGTTCAATCGGTTTAACTGAGAACCGTTGCTAGTCCGGTTCAAACTAAACGGTTGAACTGCTATTAGTGAACCGACCGGAACCGTTGAACCATTCGAACCGGACCGGCTGAAAACCGGAAAAAATCGCCAATTTTTTTTAAAAAAAAAATTAAACCAAACGACGTCGTTTGTTAAACGAGCCAAGTCGAACTCGAGTATGCTGAGCTCGACTCAAACTTTAAAAGTAAGCTCAACTCGACTCAAACTCATGAATTAAAAATTATCAAGTTCAACTCGAAATTGAAATATAATATTGAAACTTGAACTCGAAAAGGCTTGAACTCAAAAAAAATTTAGAAGCTCGATTGAAGCCTAAAATTCGAGCTTGATTGAAGTGAAAAAATAGTTTACTCTATGCTCACCAAAAGGCTCCATGATTTTTAATGTCAAATTACCTCTATTATTTATAGGAGTTAGTTGGGATGCTCTTCTATGTTTCTTAGCCATGATTGTTTTGTTCTCATATTTTTACTCTTTAGACTTTTGGGATGTTATTCTATGTTTCTTAGCCATGTGAGATTGTTCTTTTAAAAAAAATTAAACCAAACAATATCATTTTGTTATGATTTTTTTAGCCCCAAATTTATTTTTTAATTATAGTTATATAATTATATTTATTATTTAATATGTTTTATCTTAAATATTATGTTGTAGTTAATTTGAATCATTTTGTTTCACTTGATTTTATGATTTTTAACTCATATATGTTATGATTTGCTTTGAATATGACTTGTGATATACAAAATTATTTTTTATTAAATATTTTTAGTATTTTTATTTAATTTTTTAAATAATTATGACGTCGTCCGATTCTTCCGATCGGTCGGACCAATTCGACCGGTTGAACCAGTGAACCGATAACATGACCGGTTCGCTAACCGGTCCGGTTCTTAAAACCATGGGTTAAACTCATATATAATTATAGATAAAGTTGTTCAAATTCAAATCATTGAGAATTTTGTTGGTGAATCTCCACATCTTATTGAGGATATACACTTGAATTTAAATTTTTTAAATAATTACTTATTTTATTGATTGTCTCTATCTATGCAAAAATTTTATGTTGTTAATATATGTGTGTCCATCGTAAAAAAAAAATATTTGTGATTTCGCCAGCATACTTTACCATTGAGATTACTTCCTAATATGGACGGAATTCTAAAACTTTAAGAAATGAAGAAGTTGATACAATTGCCTCACCCGCCCTCAGTCCATCCCTTCTTTTTAAGTTCAATATATAAAACCTCAAATAGATATAAAACGGCTTTTTCTTTTATTATTGTTGTTGTCTCATAATTCTTAAATCATTATGCAGGGAACTGCTTTCAGAATACGGTGCTGAAGTTGTAAAACTGGGTGGAAGGCTGCTCAAGGCGATGTCCACAAATCTAGGACTAAAAGAAGACTACCTACAAAACGCATTTGGTGGAGAGGACATCGGTGCATGCTTAAGGGTCAATTTCTATCCCAAGTGCCCTCAACCTGACCTTACACTAGGCCTTTCTTCCCACTCAGACCCCGGTGGAATGACCTTCCTCCTCCCCGACCATGACGTCGCCGGTCTCCAAGTTCATAAGAACGGCCGGTGGATCACCGTGAAGCCCGTTCCCAATGCGTTCATCGTCAACGTCGGAGATCAAATTC